TACGTTTTATACATCAAGTCATTACGATGCTCGTTATTCTGATATTTTTAATTCATTTCTAATAAATAATGAACACCTAACTTGCGGCAATTTTACGAAAGGTGTATAAATGTATAGTCTTTGAATAAAAATTTATTTAAACTAATATAAATTATCAGCTATTCTGATGTTTTAACTCATCACAATTATAAAAATAGCAACTGGCTACCAATTAGGTCTTGTTTAAAATGATTTCAAATTAATTGTGTAACGATGATATTGAAATCTAACTGATAAATAAGCTATTAAATTCATTTTACTGTTGATAAACTTGATCTAAATGAAAACTGTTTTACATATTTATCAAATGCATCTCACTTCTTTGTTAGATTAAAGTTAGAAAATAATTACATAGATTGTATGGTCACTAGCGGTGCAATCCAGAATTCCACTGCCAGCGACCATTTAGCTCTGCTTATAATGCTTGTGACCTAATGGCAATATATTGGGAAGTCCCACAGGATGTACATTCGCCAAAAGAGACTGATCAGTTTCAGTCTAAAATATCAGTGGGAAGAATCAGTAAACCAATACAAATGAATTAATTACATAAAATTATTACACTACTAAAATTCAACGTTAACTGCTTAAATACATTAGCTTTTAAAATCAAGCAGAGTAGAATATATTCTATTATTATTCATTGAAGAAAGAAGTGTAGTTGGAGTTAGTAAGTGCAAATCGTGTTCAACAGTATGGCGTAAGAGTGAAAAATCACTTCGGTTACCTCAGCTTTCATTGACTAAAAGAAACTGATTATGTATCAAACGTCCATTTCAATTTGTCAATGAATCCCAATTTTTATTCTACTATCTTCTGTTTCTGAACGAATAAGGAAAAATGATCAATTTTTCAAACGAAAAACAAAATGCCCTAACTCTTTAAAATTTATAGTTATATGAGTGTATACAATCAATAAAATGACACTGAACTTTATCCAAACCATCTATCAAGCATAATGTATGTCAACTCTAGAAGATTGATAAGCGGATATTGGGTGTTTAATGGCAAGTCATCATAATCATGAGTGACCAACGCAAAAATTAAAAAGGGCACGGGACTTATACATGCACTAAACAGTTGTCTCTCCTCCAGTCCATCCTCCTAGAAAATATCACATTCAAGATAAGTTTATTTGTCCCTTAAGTGTGCTATGAAATTAAAGATCCCACAGGTATTCGGAGTTTGACAACGCTTTAACCAGTAACACCTTCTAATATGAATCGTACCCACCAAATGAAATCAAAAGACAGAAGCGAGGAGGTTCGAAGATATATTTGATAGGCTATCAATATATCGAGAAACGACTGATTTAACCTGGCTAGCGATTGCAGGAAAAACTAAGCACGGCGTTCTCACTAGTGATCTGGTGCGAATGCATGAACGAGCGCCTTCAGCTAGGTGAGTCCATTAAAACTAATGTGATCAGCATCCAATGTCGAAGACTTACAGAGCTATTTATTTTGGGGATTTATTTACCGCTACAGGATCAAGATATATCGAATACTAAAATGGAGTGAATCAGGTTGGGAAAAATCATAAAAAGGTGCGACTTTGACATAAGATTACTTAACTGTTCACATCATTACTGTTCGACTGTACTGTATAGTGAATTTTAATCTGAAGATAGAAGTAAGCACTATTCATCAGTTCAACAACCACAGACGTATTGTAAAACATGAATTTGTGGTAAAAAAAAATATTTTGCTGTAACCTATGTTTGATAAATAGGATTTCAACGACTTGGCTTTTGATCAATAATTTAAATTTATATGGTTTTTCAATGCTTAAGTATTTCTAGTACTTAGAATGAGCAGAATGATTCCTGTTATCTCTGTAACCGTATAAAATTATGATCCATCATGTTATTTATTTATCTATTGGGGCACGAACACTCAGTATATCATGTATTTTATTGTTCTGATAAAACACTGATTTTGTTCGATTTGAAGATGATTGACTAAAAAAAACTTACATCAGAAGGAGAACTAGTAAAAACCAAGTGGGATAATGGTGAGCACGAAACCTCCTGATGGAAATCATGAACATTTTCGAATTCTAATTGAAATACTAAAATACTTTCAAATTAAGTCACAGATAAGTTATAAAATGCGAACCTAGATGAAAAATCAAATTTTAAGTATGTGTGTCGATTTCATGAATATGTTTGTAATGCTTAGCAAAAATAATGAATGTGTATTTCTTTAATTAACACTCATCCACTGGTTGTTCATAAGTCTTCACATAATCGATGCAGGAAATGTCTACAGTTTCTAATAATATAAAACTTCCAACAGCTTGTTGCTATTTTAAAATTGTGACGCTATATATCATAAGGCAAACTGAAAAAATTCATCAGAAACCAGCAAATTGTGTGAATTTCATACATTAATCTATTGAAGTGTATCACTTTTCCCAAAAGCGCTTCAGCAACGTGAACTAAACATTTTAACTATTCTTCTGAGTATATGATAAAGTAAATCGTTTTGAAAATATCATTAATCATCGCCGGTAGGTGAACCTTATATGAAAAACCTATACTTATTTGAAATGCATCAAAAAATGTACTTGAACCAACAACTAATAACCACTTACTTACTGTTATCCCTAATGGAGGAGTATAGGCCGCTCAACAGAATCTCCTAACCAACTCTGTCCTAGACTCTCCTTTCCAGTATTTTGTTAGTTATTTATTTAAACACATAAACATTAGTACAAGAGAGCACCAAATAGATATGCGCCACATAAATCATTCGATTTGTGTAAGGCGTATGATACTGCTCGGGCACCCAAGCCGAAGCAGGTGATTCTCTTGAGGGGTCACACACCGAGCATTTCACCTAAAGGTCGTCTAATCCACAAGGCAGTGGAGCAACGTAAGGAGATGCAGTCACATGGTAGCCGGTGACCAATAATTGGTCCATGAACCATTTGTTCCTTCAGGATCCTGGAGCTCATGTGCACCATTGGTTTGGAACCAAAGTTTTCCAACTCGTGTAGGTGGATCCTCTGTATCCACTAACCTGGTTAAAGCGCTGGACGTTCGCTTTTTTCTCTTAATTTTGCAGAAATCAGGCATTGAGTAGGAATTCTCTTGATGTGGTTGAATGCACGGGGCCATGTGAGAGCATTTAGAGAGGGAGAGCTGACTCTTTCCACTCTCGGCCGTACCAGAGCACTTAGGGGCCTCCTATCCAGTTGTTTCCAAATGACATTTGTTTTTTCAAAGCCTACCTTTAGTGCCTGATGCACAGAGCTCTTGGGTCCTCCACTTCTTCTTTTGCCTTGAAGATTCCAAGTGAGAGCCCTACACGTGATACAGCTTGGTGATTACCGCAATATATGTTTTGTCCTGCTCGGGTTTTTTCCCCAGTATCCTCTTCAGCTGAAAGCCCATTTTTTCTCTTTCACAGTAGGCCGTTGCCGCTGGTATCTGGTCAACAGATATTAAGTATCTTGTGTAGATAATTGTTTCTAACTACTTGTACCTCTTTGATGATGATTGTGGTAGCTCTCAACGTTTCAGCTCCGTACTGCAAGACTGTCTTGACGTTCGTATTGAAGATTCTGACTTTGACATTAGGCAACAGATGTCTAAAGTTCCATTTATTATTCAGTTGCAGGGATGCTGCTTTTACCTTGTCTTCCTTCTTCTAGTCCATGACCTCTCATGCTATCTTCATACTCGGTGTAGTACATTCTAACTTTGGCGTTTAGGTCTCTTATCAAAATGGTTGGGTTTTACCCTGGTCACTTCTTCACAGCCATATGCAGCCTTTTGGAAGACTAATCTTTGTCATCTTCGTCGCTATAATTAGTATGTGTATAACATTGGATAACATCCACTGTGATTCCCTCCTTCTTTGTCTTGAAGGATGCTTTGATGATCATGGATCCATGAGATTCCCATCCTATAAGTGCCTTTCGTGCTTCTTTGGAAAGCGTCAGTGCAACTTCTTGTGTGTGCGAAGCATTTCATTCTTCATGACCAGAGTAAAACAGCATCTCTCCGAACCTAATCTTTTTTCCCAGCTTGGGTCTGGGGGGTTACTTGTTCCGAGCAACTCCAAGTTGTAGCTCCTCAGTTCCGTAGCTATTTGATTAGTCCTCACAGTCTGCCACATCGTCAGGACATTCCATGTACCTATATTAATTGTTCCTCTGGTTGTTAGAAGGGGCATCGGCCTCGTGACATACGAAGAATCTTGTCTTTCATCGTGAGGTGCCACAACTCTTCTAAATAAGATCCTTTAACTCTCTGGATAGATATTAAATTGTTTAAATAATTTTTCCGGTTAGCGCTTTTCTACCAAGGTTGTTCTCTAGGGAACGAGGTTGCTGACCTTATGCCCAACTCTCCTTTACCCGGTCTTGGGATCAGCAGTAACCTTAAGAAAGCTACATGCGATAACCGCCTAATAGTTTTCCTAAAACGTCTTGTCAGAAACGTATTAAAACAAAGCAATTTGTTGTTAGGTAATAATTTAAATGAAATATCATAGTTATGTACCATAGTTTTACCTTACCATGCACTGACATAATCATAACTATTTTGAGTGGATTGGAATATTCTACTATATCCCTCTGAACTTGCGCTAATGTAATTTGGTTATCTATCAAGTCTCTGAACAAGCAATTTACAATAAACTGCGAAACTTTTGAAATTCAATGTTCTCCCCATTCGGATAATACAGATGTATCGTTTAATTATCAACAACTAAGTGTTTTAAAAAACAAAACATAATTCATCAATCTGTACATATTAGTTGTCATTTTAATTTGAGACATGACAGTTTACATGAATTAAAACATTAGCATGAACTTTTTAAAATTGACTAATAAGTTATAATCGATAAACATTTTGATTTCTTCTACCTTTTTTCAAATATAATCATATTTTAAGATCCTAATCCTTACTTAGTGTATCCAAACAATCTATTATCCAAATAAATAATCTCCCTTTAATCATCACCTTCTTCTTCTTCTTCTTGTTCCTCTTTAGCTAAATCTTCATCTTCCTCTTCAGGCGGATTGAGTAGAGCTCTTAATGCAGCCTCTTCTTGAGGAGTTGGGTCGATTGCCTCATTGAAATCAGAAACTTCTTGATATTCATCCATTTCAATCGGTTGTACCTGAGGTTGAAAACCTGAAGTAACTGATTTCAAGCCCCATCCAACATAAATATTTTCAAATCGCCTATAAAAGAAGTATTAAAGGTTTTATATTGCTTAAATGATATTACTGATTAGATTTATGTGCTAGTAAAGGACACTAAACGACATGAATCGACCACAACTGTGATTCTCAACCCTTTTGATTCGTTATCCCTTACTAAACTGCCGAAATACCAAAAAGAAACCCTTATCCTCTTACTGTAAAGACTGATTATTTTGTAGTGAATTTTCAATTAACCTTAAGATACAATAGGAAGATTTGACTTAATAAAGAAAGCAAACACAATGAGATCATGTAAGCAATACAACAGTGCTAATAAAAATCTGAAGTGGACATACTCCTACCCTAAAACATTGTGTCCTAATTTAATCACTTTCAATCAATAAGCTAACAAGCTGAGAATCTTGTGGCATAAATTCTGTCTTCAAGATTCTAAAAACATGAATGTTAATAAGTGTGTAGAATTATTTCAATTAATCTAAAAACAATAGTCAAAGTTCAGAGAGATATTTCGAAATATCTAAATTTTAAATGAGACATGTTGAGTTATCTCACTTTATATGTTGTCGCAAATAATTTTTCGTAATTATGAAGTTTTAAGTGTCTAAAAGATTTTTTTGTTTCATGTAACTTTCATGGGTTTAATGTAGCTACTTACCTCCCCCATGATACTGCATGTGCCCCCACCCAGATATTAGAAGAAACAACAACAGATGCATATTCTGGTAACAGCTTAGAGCTTATTCTGATTGACCATGGTTTTTGTCCAAATATTGGTAAATCAGATGAAATCGGTGTAAGTATAGGTGGTCCATGTTCTGGTTGTATGACATTCTTCATTTGACTATCTTCATTTTCCTCTGCTTCATCCTCATCGTTAATTTCATCAAAATAATCGCCCAAACCCTTTTTTGGATTCCACCTAATCAAGCATAAAATGTGAAAATCTTAATTGAATCTAATACCATTAGAATACGATTAGGTGAAACCACTATTAACTCAGTTGTTTCCTTTTACTGCTGTTTTGTTAATTGCGTTATGCTACTAATTATTAATAAGTAGTTACATAAGTTTTAAGCTACTTATATGACTTTCAGCTTGTAACAAAACTAGAAAGTCAAATGTTTGATATTAATTTTCCTGGTATTTCTAGTACCAGTCTAAATGTAACATCGTCCATTAGCATTTCAAGATGGACAGAAGATAAGGATTATTGACTGTTTCTTTGACTTGCCTTTTGTATTCATGGCTAACTATTTGCCATATTAAAACCAAGTTACCAACATAACTTATTAGTTGGGTCTTTTGTCCATAGATAACAGCTCTAATTGTATGGTATCTCTTTAGCCAGTGGATTATTGATTCTGTCTTCTGAAATATATTCAACCGGATTTCGAAATTCGGTTTCGCAAGTACTTATCAGTCCAATTATGGTAGTTATTCCCATAATCTTGTCTATCATTTATCGTTATAAAAAGATTTTCAATGTGAAAAAATTTGCTATTATCGGTTAGTGTTTAACTTCTGTGTTCTGTAATTCATTCATACTCAGTGTATACGCTGTAAAAAATTCTGATTATCACAACGGCTTCACGCTTACATCAACTCACCAATAAACTCTTCCCTGTGGTAGAATATAGGATGTATGATGTACCCAGTGTATAAGACTCGGATCAGCTAATTCATTGATACTTAATGGTTCGTATTCTTCATTTTTTACATAATTCTGTCGTTCACCTTCTTCTTCATTTTCAAGTTCTTCTTCTTCCTCTTCTTTACTTCCAAAAGTATAATAACCTTGTGGAGATATTTGGGTGGATGCACTAATTCGTGCTATCTGAGCCCGTAAGTAATTAGCTTCATTACCAGGATAAGGTGGATAACACGAAACCGGAGAATCCAATATCCCAGTAAAAAGACGATGAACCTAAATTAAATTTGAATAAACAGTCCATTACAACTCAGATATTAAACCCATATAATTTTTTACCATTCAGAAGTTAGTTAGTTTCCGGTACCGTTTTTGTCTCGTTTATATAATATGTATTTATGTATGTATGAATATGAATTAAACTCAAAATATACTGAGGTTATAAATGATAGTATTTACCAAGTAAAATTATTAATATTGCGTCAAAAATGATAATCGATAAAGTTTTAGCCTAGTTAAATAACTACCAAGCACTAAGTAACCGTTTTGTAATATTTATCTTGATTGTTTTTCCAAGAGAATTAATGTTAAAACACTTTATCCACCTGCACAATAATTGATAATTAATCAAATTGAATGAATAAATAAATGTAACGGGTGAAGCAAGTTCATTTTATGTAATACTGAAATTTTTTATACACAGTCCTAAGAATAAAAAACTGAAGTTTTATTCGACAATAATCACTAGCGCTAGGAATTATAAAACATACTTTTGATACTACTCAACGATCAATGTGCGTAGATTAAAAAGTGTTTTTTTCTTAATTTAAGGAATTACAAACTTAATTTAAGGTGGAACTAATTGTAACCTGTATGAAACTAAGATGATAATAGCGAATAAATGGTTTACATCAAACCTAGATTTAATTATTTTCAAATTGAAGAATCTTGTGCTATAATAGAATAATATAAAGGCAGTTAACATGCCTTAAAGTGAAGTGACACCTTAATTTTTTCCTTAAACAACGTATCTTAATCCTTACCAACGAGCTTGTCTTAAGTTTGGATCTACATTTTTCCCAAGGCTAGAATTGAAATCTGGCTGTTCCAACTAAAATATGTTCAGCTGGATAGGAATCCAAGACTAAATCAATGAAGTTCTATTGCTTATGGAAGAACTGTCAGAATAATAACCTTGTATCCTTTTTTCTCCTAAAATCTTTAAAAAGTTTTTTTTCATTGCCACTTAACACTGAAACGAACGTACAGCTCGAGCAGCTACTATTTGTTCAGGTGTTACCGGTGGAAGTTTTATCCATTGTAGGCCTGGTTCATGACATACGAAATAAACTTTCTTATTAGTTCCAATATGATTTTCCTCTCTCGGCACTTTGACTGGTGGCTTCCATTTGGACTTTGGTAGGACATCTTTGCCTTCTTAAAAAAAACCAAATAAGTTTGTTATTGTCGACTAGAGAGATTAACAAAATAACTATAAAAACGATAAATTTTATGCAAAATAACCATTCAAACTATTACCACGTCCCACAAACGTTGATGTTAATTCCAGATCAATCAAAACCATCAGACTCTGAATATCCGAGTTTTCATAGTAATTCTTCATGAAACATCACAAACATCCATGATGAAGTTATTATGGGGTAACACCTAATTACCTATAAAGTACGTAACTATGACTTATTCTCACTTGGACACCTTTGGTTAGATAAAACTTTCAATTTAAAGTGGATTCTTCAGGAAATCCAGTAAAACAACTTCCTTCAACAACATTACAGACAGCCAATCTACCATATTAAGTATCTGACGGAGCAATAGTAAAATATTGAGCTTGTATAAAATAGGGCAGCTCTAACTATATGTGAATTCGACAGTGTTAACTGATGTTATGTATTCAATGAAACAAGCTGATAAACAAATCAAAAGCCGAATACATCTTATTGTATACCGTAGTAAATTCCGCAGTTCAGATGTGATGCAACGCACTACTTAGATTCGGCAAACACACACTGCACATCAATAGTGAACATACAATGAACGGAAAAAGTAAATTAAATGTGCTTAAGTTCGATTCCTAAGGGAAGTAAAATCTGTTAAGTCAACATTTTCTGGTCTCTTTGTACTTAGTAACTGTTCACTGCTTACGCATGGACTTTTATTACTAAATTTTACATTTAAAATCAATCCATAAACATTCATTCACTTTCTGGGGGTTATTTTTACCTGAAAACGAAATCAAACTATTTCGGGGGTTGTTCAAGATCAGAGTTTATTTACGCGTTTACTTCATAACCACCATAACTGAAGTTATTTTATCAAGTTTATCCGATATGATATATCTCTATATCTACAATCTATTCAAGTCGCTATTTGTCAAGCGATACTGAGATAAAAAAATTTATAATTAAGAGGATCAAATAAACCACTGGCATTAAAACGTTTGAAACTGTATAGAGTTCGTCCAATAGATGGATGTTGTTGAAAATCGATATGAAAGTTTCATTACGCAGACGAAGTTCTGTTACAATATAGAACAATTAAAGATCAAGGATTAAATGATGGTAGTCTTATCCACCTGATACTACCCAAGTAACTGCTTTAGGTTCGTCCCTGTAAGAAGTCGTATGTTTGTACTGCTATGGGGTAATAAACTAAGTAAATAATTTTCAAACCCTCCCTGTTTTGAAAAATTTCCATAGTGATGTCGAAATCATAACAAACTTTAGGGTCAATAACCTCAAAATTCACAAGTATTTCTTTATCGATATATAGTCATCTTTTAAAGCAGTAACGCCTCAAATATTTGAGAGAGATACTTCCTAGTTCAAAAGACTGACCTGTTGAAAGATCAACAATATTTTACGAACCTTGATCATATTATTAATAATTAGTTTTTAATGGATCCTAGCTGCCGAAAAACTATAAAAATGATTATTCTGGTAACACACTACTAAGCGTAGCTTTTTATAATGATTGCAAATAACGACACATAAAATATGTTATAGCGTTGTAGGAAATACCAGTCAGATACCTTCACACATTAAATAGCTATTTTTCACAAAATAAAACTCATATCATTGGTCACAAGTCATAGATGAATTGATGTAGAACTTTCTTATACTGGATCGGAATATTTTAGTGTAGGAGTACTCAAACAATGCGAATTACTTCTGTCTGATGTGATATATCTAGGCAACAAAAGGTTCCAAATGAATTGATCGTTTATTTAAATGGCGTACAAACACCTCTCAGTGTTGTTTAATTTTGTGACAATTTATCGCATTCTGTTGGTCTGGATTCTTAATAATCTTCAATATGATTTGGTTTTATTACCGCAAAACAGGGGTTACAGACTTAGTTAGTAACTATCGTTCTGTTAGTCCAACCAGCATAGTCGCCGAACTAATGGAAAAGATTATTCGGATGGCCATTATAAACTATTTGAAAGAGAAACATTTTTCAACCAGTGGATAACATGGATTTAAAAAACCCTTTGTGTTTGACAAATATTCTCCTCGCAAGAGAAAATCGGGTTGCAGCAAAAGATATAGATATTCCGGTAGACGTAATTTTCATAGATCTGAGTAAAGCCTTTGGCATTATATCTCACCTGAGTCCTAAGTTAACACCGAAACGTTTCTGGGTTCATTACGAAATTGTCAACTGAGTAAAGGTATTCCCCTCAGTGATAGGAGACAACGAGTAAGAATATATGGAGCTCTATCAGCATGGGAATCTGTAAAAAAGTGAAGTTCTCCGTGATACATTCCCCTGTCCACTTCTCTTTTTATCTTTTGTAAATCACTCGCTAACTGCAGCTGTCCTCTGTTCTACACTTTGAAGATGATATAAATATTTGGAGACCAATACACAGTATGTCACGTAGAACAATATTACAGGATGACCTAGATAAACCGGTTGAATGGATTAGTAGAAACTGAACTGTGAAGGATATTTAAGTAGGACCATTAGTCAAGCGACTTTCCGCCCATCTGGCATTTGATCCGTGAAAATGTCTTTTATTTGCTTCAAAGTCATTGAAGAGTATTAATACAATCGTAGTATATTTTGCTTATTTATCCGCGATTTAAAAACACCAGAGGTGTATTATACATTGTTAAGGCTAACCTGGCACATAAAACATAGTTTTAAGCACATAATTTTATAATTATTCACAGTTTATTGGCAGGTTCTACGAAAACACAAACCTTCAGCTCCTTCTTCATCATCTATTTCAGTTGCATCACGATTAAATGATTCTGGACTCTCCTCTTCGTCTATATCTTCCCCCTCAGGAAACTCTACTTCGACAATGTAGTAATTTTGAATCAATCCATGAATTTTCCCCCAAAATCGCGCAGTTTGAACAGCTTGGGTATTCACTAGAGACTTGATAGCCATGTTTAATAGAACAGTCTCGTTTTTCCCGATACCTACTCCTGCATTATCAAAATAGTATGCATTTTCCATCACATTCGGAAGAGGGTGTTCTTCTCCTTCATCTGCTACAGGCTCTTCATCCTCTTCTGAGTTTCTCTATAAGAGACATAAATTAGTAATCTTCTACTGATAAACAACTTCATACCGTAAACAACTTTTGCTGGATTTTCGCTGTGGAAAATGAGGCAGGATTCGGACTGGAAGGGTCTCCTGGACCATGCCTCTTAGTTTCTAGTTTAAGGCGATTGCTCAAGACTTCAAACTCATTAAAGTCATCGAATCTTTGCTGGTATAACATGTGTTTTATGCAGTTCTTCAGGTGTTGATATCTATAATGACCTAACACTCTGTGTAGAAATTAACTAACAAGTTAAACCCATAGCTATCCGCCATTTCTAGCAGTGTCATTTTGTGTTTTAGAAAATTCCCATCGCTTCTAGTTGTCTCACTCATCACTACACTACCGTCAAATTACGTCACAACTGCTGCCATGGCAACAACAAAATTCAACTTCTTCAAACAACCATCTTGAATTTAACACATGGTATCAAATAACTTCAAACATATTGGCTTTTATGAATGCAAAAGAAAGTCTGTTAGAAACACTCGATAAAGGAGATTGGATAAATTCCTGAACGAAGATCGACAGAGGTCAAAATGGTTCAAATGGTTGTAGATGGAATAGAATAAGCTTTCACTTAACAGGCTTCCGTGTCTAGTAGCAGTATATCACCAATATCTTCAGACAGAAACCTAGTTATATTAACGATAATAGAAGAAAAAGAAATTGGTAAATCATAGTAATATATTATTCTTAGTCCCTAAGAAAATGTCAAGTTTCCTGCTAAATGACTCCTGAGTAGTCGCTTAGACTAGCTCAGCCATCAGCGAACTCCACAGATTGACAACTCTTAGGGAGTAGAAGTTGTGTTTACAGTCCGTTCTGCTGCGTTGTGTTTCCAGTTTCTGGGTGTTACCCCTCATGTTTGTGTTGGGGATAAACTTAAGTAGATGTTCAACGGGTTACCCAGAAGTAGAAAGGATGCTGTATGTCACTTCTAAGACCTCTATACTCTAATGAGTAAAGGTTCACTTATTGGAAGCGCTCTTCATAAGGCTTAACTTTGAGTCCTCGAAATGATTTCGTGGCTCGACGTTAGATACTCTCCAGGGTGTCCTTATCCTCTTGTAATGAGGGAGAAAATATTATGTTTCGTACTCTAAATGAGAATTAATGAATCTGTTGAAGACTGTGTGGAAAGTTCTTTCGTCGAACTGGCCGAAAATGTGCTTCAATGTTACCAGTGTAAAATTTGCTAGGAAGGCATTGAGCATCCATAGCAAGTTGAGGATGAATTTCCCACATTCAACGTTAGAACTTTCAGCTCCTGTTGTTGGTGAGAGGTCTTAGCTCAGTTTACCTGATAAAACAACAGGCTATGATCGCTTCTCCCTAGGTGAGCGAGGATTGAGAAGTTGTCAATTAGGAATTCTTTGTTTGTAAATACCCAGTCCAGGCGCGAAGGCGTCTGACTGTTTTTCCAACGAGTTGCCGACTTCACATTTTTGAATAATCTCAGATCCTCAATGAAGTTGATAAACCGAGCTTCAGTAAGGTTTCCACCACCAATATACGTATGTTCTGCGAAATTGACGTTGGGGAGATTGAAGTCCCTTAAAATCAGTATATGAGTGAACCTAAAACGATAGAGCGGGATAATCCTTCCAGCATACAATTGTAGTACTTGATGTCAGCAGTGAGCTTCCTATAGATGTGTTGTAACGGGTGACTGCAGGTTAGATGTGCAGCGTTTTATATCAATCGTTCCAGTGACACGTAAACACGTACGAATGATCTAGAGTCCTGATTGGCCCTGCTTCCCTGTTCAACGCAGCCAGTTGAGTCCAGATCGCAAGTCACAGCGTCTGAGATATGAATCATATTTCAAACACACTCTGTTCATATACTAGCCAAGCAGACCACATCGTACCATAGAAATAGAAAACAACATTTACACAATATTAAACAAGTGAAGCAAATATCGACCAATAGGGAATGTATATTTAGCGTCCAAGGACGACATTAGACTTAACATGGTAACTATTGGTATATTTTTCTTCACATCCTAACAAGATGACTCCAACTAGACACCTCGAGGTGGTAGACAATCTTACTGAGCACCATACGGACTCATCAAGATTGATAAACTTTTGATTGTGCACAAGATTGCAAGTATAGGGCTTGTAGAATTATGCTCTACTTCGTTATTAGTACTGCTCTAATAATAGACCTAATCCCAAAATTGTAGATTTGTCATGATGTAACTGCCTAACATATAAGATCTTACGTGGCAGTTACATCATCGTATACACCAACTCATCGCATCGTAACAATCACGGATATATGATGGAGAACAAACTTAGGCTAGAAGTAAAACAATATATTTAATATAGATAAAAATGATGTTGCACAAGTAAGACTACGTCTGATAGGCCGAGCCATGCCATCCGACCAATTCGAATTAATTCAACTCCTTCTTCTTGCCTTTTCCATCATTGGGTTTTTCTCTGCGTTAAACGCTGAATATCTATTTTCCCTATTGTCTCGTGTTCAGCTTTGAGAATTGTGTGGTTAGGTCCCAATGCCACTACAAGCTACTCCACCCTTATTCCCTGTTTTACTGTAATTGCGAAACAAAAACATTTTGGGTATTGCTAGCTAGATATCCGAGTTCCAGATATCCCTATCAGATGAGCATTATTAGAGTTGTTGAGTTCATGTATCTTATCCATTTTATTCGGCAAACTCGAGGCGTTCGTACATAAGCAGCTTGTTCTTTCGATTTGAAACGTGTGAGCTTCTCCCTGTTTGTCTGTATGAGCCTTACGTGAATAGAGAGGTAGCTTAGCTGTACAAAGTTTTCCAAGTTGATAGCCCCTGTCCTTTACACGTTTTTTATGATCAAGACAGTTCACAAGTTGAATAGTCAGCTCCAACTTGCCTTCGTGCTTGATCCTGATGTCATGGGGCCCATATGGATTCCAATTGGCAGCCGACTTCTGTTGGCACGAAATGCTTCCAGAGTTTCAGTCGCCATACGAGAGGATGGAAAGTTATCTTTATTAGCCTTTGAGTTGAACGGTATTTAAAGCAGTCAAAGTACCTTGATACGACGATAAAATAATCCACGTTAAGCTCTAACCATGAGGTATGAATTTGAAGTTAGCTGGTTCGTCACACCACTTCCGTCTAACTTCTGTAGGCCCCCAATGGTTTGACACATATCATTCGCGTTAGTGATCTACGGGGCTGCGGAATTTCCTCATATGACTACGTCAAACGATTTTACAAAACGCCCAGTTGAAGCTCCTCATTCAACATTCCTTAAAAGTCACTCGCTGCTATTCCTGTGATAAATTTTTATAGCCGCTATAAATGAGAAGCAAAGTTGTTGTGCGCATGAAATTTTTAGTTTTTACAGCAGAAACATTTTTTGAAACTTTTTTCATGTCAAATCAATAAATTCATTGACAGAAGACAAAACTATCAGGAATTATTTTTGGATAAATATCATCGGGAACCTAGTTTTCCGAGGAAGATTGTTGTTAAGAAAGTCTTCTTCCAAGTCTTGTTTGAACTGTGTCGCTTTCAGAAGCAAAAATTCGTGTAAATACACTATCTGAAATGAGTATACTGCTGGCCTGATCATGTGCACAATGGCGAAATTGATGAATGACATGAGTTCACCAACGTAGATGATCTATGTCAAAAATGATTGGAGACCTACTCGAGTCACACGGGAATGGTGTGACGAACCAGCTAACGTCGAAGTCACACTTCGTGGTCAGCTCCTTACGTGGACTACCTCATTCACGTATCAAAGTACCATAGATGCTTTGAAGACTGTACAACACAGAGGACGTTATTACAGAAATATATTAGTTAAGGTAGATACAAGCGAAAGTAAGACCACTGCCGCATTGGCCAGTCCATCGCATATGATTAACGGATGCGCGTTAGTTGTCCCTGTCCTTTACGGGGAGCGATGATCTGTTTGACATTCAGTGATCCAACTGCCGGATGATTTGGCTAGGGCTCAGTGACATTTCACTGGCCCTACAGTGACAACTGTGATTTTACTGAGTATAACATAATCGACTATACTTAAAGCTGATACTGCACTTTCAAGTCAACGTTCCACTGTTTTAACATGCCGTTCTTAGAAAGAGGCTGATAAATCGTTTAATTTATGTCAGTGCTTGTAGTGGGCGTGCTTATAAATGTTCAATGTAACGTTTGTTTGGACAGATTACGGAACCTAATTTTCATGTACTTCAATAATGTTAGCCCAAATGTTCGAGACACTAGATTCTCAGAACTTACTTGGTTAATGTCGTACTTTTGCAATTTTATTTTGGAAATCTGGATTCCCTGTTTTCGCACCAAGAGCGCCTATTTTCACCTTCATATTTTACTTAACACTTGTGAGGGCTACAAATGTAATTAGTTCGTTATCTCTTTCAGCAAATTTGCTGTACCACTAACTCTAAAATCATCTTACGGAGTGTACACGATCGGAAGACAAAATTTTCTTTAATCTTACTGTCTGTTCTGATCAGTACTTCTGTTAAATGATGTGGTTTAATGATATGACTTGATATTCAAGTCTTTACTCCATCAAGTGCAAATTTAATTTCAGAATCAAAGCCATTAGGTTCATCTAAATCTCGAAAAACAACATTCGATGATATTTCACTATTTTTCCTGAGCAAGGCATATTTTTTTAACCTTACTTTGTAGCTTCAGGGAGGTATTCTGTAACTTAAGGGATGATGAGCCTTCAGTAACGGACTCTACATTCCTCACTGGCTGCCTCACAGATTTTCATTCCACATCGCTAAGTTCATTAATATCGTGACTCTTTGAATAGATGATAGTTATACTTGGGTTTTAATGTTGAGTGAATTTGTGATCACATTCAACAACAGGTGGTCCATCAACCTGAGAAATTTCTTCACGCTCTCCTTAAGAGATTCCCTGTCTCTACTTTGATTGGTTGAGTGTTTATCTTGTACTAAAGTTGCACGTGCCGTACTGGAACGGTTTTTACTGTCAGTACTAGAATCTCGATTTTTTCAGAAACACGAATAACTGTCATCGAGATCATCAGTAATTTTCTCAAGCAGTAAAACATAGAGTTAATGATAGTTAGAACTTGAATATCTCTTATATGTAGTGGGTGTTAGACGGGTCTAAATCATATAAAATCAATCCTTAAATTACATAGCATTCCTTTC